TATAATGCGGGGTGCGAGATCTTTAGTGCACTTGGTTAAAGACACCGCAATCAATGGCGGTTACTAGATATTAGGTGCAACCTTGTCAGTTTCTATCCGGATTGCTCAAATGGTTGCTTGGAAATGGAGTTGAACTGGGTGAAAAACCTATATGGTACACAGGGGACAGAGCCTCAGTAGCCTCCAACTTGTTATGTGCGTCTGAAGTGTAAATAAAGGATAGCGCAAAAATGTCGGCATACAAAGGCAGCGCATTTGCTGATCGGTTTCCCAGAACAAAGACCCCTATTTGTTGAAACTGCTATTGTGATTGAGTATGGGATAGTCACAAATTATGATTAGGATGACGGAAATTTTGGTTCTGTTAATCTACTTGATATCGGTATTTTGCGGCAGAAATAAAGTGAAGTTTTGATTTGATGCTATTAGTGAGCCGATTTGTCACCAAAGACCAGCTCACTCACTAGATCTCCGCCACGACTGCATTCCTGGGTGCACGTATGTGTGGTCCCTGGATGCTGGGGCTGAAGACTATACCGCTTTTTATCTTACGACCGACTGTGAAACACCACTCCTTAACTGTAACTTTTCTGCGTCCAATAATGCATATTGTTGTTTAATGCATCTGACAAATTGTCGATGTACACGCGGATGTGAATAACCGTCAATGGCCGTTGGATTCGGCTGCTCTATACAGATGACGCTTCATACACAGCTTTGCGCAAGAGTGCGGGCATGGCACTTGCCATAAGTAAACAAGGTAAGCAAAAACACAAGCACGGGCGATCGTTGTCCATCGAATTAGATTGCCGTGGTTCCCCATAATCTGCGTATCGCTTAGACATACATGGCGGTTGCGGTAATTGGTCGAGTTGAACGATAACAGCTACCGTTATCATGCGGAACGGCAGTGAATGCTCCATATGCTATCGTTATGTTTGCACTTTATGACGCATTTCACCACTTAGGCGTCAAATTCCTAATTATCGTTAATTTTTAGCAGCGTGGTCATGGCCATTAAAGTGAATGCAGGCGATGAATGAGAAAGTGTTACAGAAGAATATGCGACATAGGAGAAAGACGTCTCATTCAAAGTTATGTCACCAACAGTTCTAGTCGGATGAGAGGAATTCCAACGTCAGAATTTTGGTATTTTTGGAGGGACAAACGGCGCTGAATGCTCTTCAAGGGGTGGTAGGCGCTAACACAGTCATGACTCGAATATCAAGCACAAAGTATCCGTCATACTGGTTATTGTGTGCGATGAAATGGCAAGGATGTACACCCAAAGCCTCTTGCTGCGCACGAAAGTGTCGTACGTGCGCAGAGAACCCGCAATGGCAAGAAAACATAAGTCACCGATTATTATCTTATGAAGTCTCAATCCAGTAACAGCCTGGGCGGATTGAGGAAAGCAGCTCCATCGATAGGAGACGATCATCAGTTGGTGGATCAGAAATACATCACAAACAATTGCATGTATGACCGAGAATATGGCTAGGGAATATTCATTGGCACCATACCTCTGCTTCTTCCCATTTAACACAGTAAACCCGCGCCCCTTTGAGACTGTGATGGCATCTATTACTGTTGCTTGGCGCTCCGAAACTGCGTTTAGGTCAGGTTTGGTGAAGAACGTCCAAGCAAGTGCTCTCAATTCCTTGAAAAAGATGTTTAATCAGTCGATGGACGTTTTGCGAGTTTTCTTCAAACACAAACGTGGAGAGCACATCTGACATGGGCGATCCAGTAGGACTGAAAAATACGCTCCAAACTCCCCGGTTCGCAACATTTCGCGACACAATAACGTCTGGACACCATGACCACACAGAGCGTTCCTAACTCTCGTCCTGAGCAGGTTTACCGGAGCAGGATACCGCGTGCAAATGCCCGAGGGAGCACTTGTTCTGGAAATACAACCCATCGATTAAAAACAGGCGAAGCAACAAACTCTCGTAAACTGCGACCGTCAACGCTGTTGCGAAGGCTATCACCCCAAGAAGACACAAGCTCCTCCATGGTTAAAAACAGGGAAGCAACAAAACCCCCGAAACTGCGACCGTCAACGCTGTTGCGAAGGCTATCACCCCAAGAAGACACAAGCTCCTCCATGGTGTTCGCGCACCAGGGATTTGGATCGGAAGGACGAGATCTTGAAAAACTCAAGCAAATGCGGAGTCACTGACTACATTGCGTAGTATTCGGCAGTATGTAGAAACTAGCTTTTCCATACGCGCTCCTTGATGCATCGGGACTGTTGCACCCAGACTTAGGATACCAAGTGCATCATATTCTTTACTGTTGTGGATGTTGCTTACCGGAATGTCCTTCAGTTAACAAAGCCAGCCACGAATAGATTACTTGATTTGTTGCGCAACTTTTTGAGCGTGTTTCGGCGGACTTAGCCGAACACGATTAAATATGTCAGCCTCAGTACCAGGTAGTTCCCCGTGATCTCCATTCTTTGATGCTGCCTTAACGGGACGGGCCTCACCTCATGGGGCAGTTTGAGCACATGCTGTTACCCTCAAAATTAAGGGGGACATTCAACTATATTACGGTGTCCAACGGAACTAAAGGAGAAATACATCACAAACAATTGCACGTATGACCGAGAATATGGCTAGAGAATATTCATTGGCACCATACCTCTGCTTCTTCCCATTTAACACAGTAAACCCGCGCCCCTTTGAGACTGTGATGGCATCTATTACTGTTGCTTGGCGCTCCGAAACTGCGTTTAGGTCAGGTTTGGTGAAGAACTTCCAGGCAAGTGCTCTCAATTCTTCGAAAAACATGTTTAATCAGTCGATGGACGTTTTGCGAGTTTTCCTCAAACACAAACGTGGAGAGCACATCTGACATGGGCGATCCAGTAGGACTGAAAAATACGCTCCAAACTCCCCGGTTCGCAACATTTCGCGACACAATAACGTCTGGACACCATGACCACACAGAGCGTTCCTAACTCTCGTCCTGAGCAGGTTTACCGGAGCAGGATACCGCGTGCAAATGCCCGAGGGAGCACTTGTTCTGGAAATACAACCCATCGATTAAAAACAGGCGAAGCAACAAACTCTCGTAAACTGCGACCGTCAACGCTGTTGCGAAGGCTATCACCCCAAGAAGACACAAGCTCCTCCATGGTGTTCGCGCACCATGGATTTGGATCGGAAGGACGAGATCTTGAAAAACTCAAGCAAATGCGGAGTCACTGACTACATTGCGTAGTATTCGGCAGTATGTAGAAACTAGCTTTTCCATACGCGCTCCCTGATGCATCGGGACTGCTGCACCCAGACTTAGGATACCAAGTGCATCATATTCTTTACTGTTGTGGATGTTGCTTACCGGAATGTCCTTCAGTTAACAAAGCCAGCCACGAATAGATTACTTGATTTGTTGCGCAACTTTTTGAGCGTGTTTCGGCGGACTTAGCCGAACACGATTAAATATGTCAGCCTCAGTACCAGGTAGTTCCCCGTGATCTCCATTCTTTGATGCTGCCTTAACGGGACGGGCCTCACCTCATGGGGCAGTTTGAGCACATGCTGTTACCCTCAAAATTAAGGGGGATATTCAACTATATTACGGTGTCCAACGGAACTAAAGGAATGATCAGTTCCTTGGCGAAGTAAAATGATTTGACTGAGACTGATGTCGCCCGATGTCCCCTGTCCCCACAAATCACCACTGCTTTCGTCTTTCGGGCGATTATCCTCATACAAGCTCTTTCCAACTTGATCGCAGCAGCTTCAGGACCCACTTTATTGCAAGTACGACTCTCTGCACACACGACACAGTCGTCAGCGGAGGCAAAAACATTTACTAGAGTGTCATGGAACAGGGATCCCATTTTCGGCATGGACGATCCAACAGCCACATCCATTTATTGAGAAACAATATTGGTTAGAGTTTATCTCTTCGACCCACACCTCTGTGACAGTGAACCTCGGAAATGAAAAAAACTGCTACAACATTCTCAAAGGACTGTGCGATTTATCGACCACAAATGCCTCGGCAGATCTGAGGGTCGTGTCGTGCGAAACCGAATCAAACGCTTTCGAGACATCGACAAACGCAAAGCTGAGCTTAGAAGCAATCGCCGAAGAGTAACATAACATCGCATGTGGCAGCGATGTAGCTTTCAAACAGCCGTCCCGATGAAGAAGTGCAAACTGGAGTGATGGTAGCTGCAATCTACGACTCCGGCGACCAGCAAGCAACATATGAATGCATCGGACAAGAATGGATGACAGGGAGATCAGTCTATGTTGATCCGGCTAAGCCGGATTTGGGACCTTCGGAAATAGGGTAATACAGGCACGACACAGATGTGAGGGGAAGTCTCAAAATAGTCACAGTAATTTGAAATACCCATGCATCACTTCAACATTGAACCGGTGGAGCATCCTGGGCGTGAGCTTGTCCAGGCCTGGGGCGAACAGACTATTAAACGGATCGTAAGGCCGACTTCTCCTCTACTTGGCTGGGTAAGGCTGTAATCAGACGTTACTACTACGCGACTTGGCCGGCTATTCACGTGTTTTGAAGCTGAGAGAGCCTCATTCCAATACTGCTTGGTGTCTCGAGTTAGGCCGCAGTTACCTTTGTATAGATTTTCAATGACTCATCGAGCACAGCGGACGCTTCATCTTTCTGTCTTTGGTGGTACAGGGTCCGGATGGCGGTGTAGTTGGCCCGTTGGATCTGCTTTCTGTTGACCGGTATCCGATGGGCTATCTTTTGATGGTGTCTGGATAAACTTTCCCGGATGTGTGGAAATTCCCTAGAGACGTGGAAGTCCAGAAGCGACGGGACTAGCTCGGGTGTCATGATACCAGGCTGCAACCCTCGGACAAACACCAGAAGGTCAGCTCTAGCAAGTGAACTGTCAGCATTGGATTCTGAGAGTGACGGCACAATCCAAGGTTTGTTTAAACCAGACGCTACAGTCATCGGCTTCTGGCAAGAAGGCCATTATTTGACCGATAGTTTGGTCAGGTCCACCAGATGATGGTTGGTGCCGTTGTGTTTGCCAGTAAGGCATTCGCAACCTGGGTTCGGTGCTGATGGCTAAATGAACAGGAAGATACTGCTCCAGCCTCATGATCGCCGCAGTTTGCGTGCCACAAGATGTATGAATTGGTAACGAGTTGCAAGAGCGATCGTGACTCTTGTTGGGACCAGCGGGTTCCAGAATACTTCACTCGATTAAGCTTGTCTGCATTATGCTTTGTGGCGTGTTCCTGCCTGCGACGTGAAAAGGCGGAAAAAAATCAGCGCAGGCTAGTTGGGCTATCATGCTTGTCCCAACAATTTTATTGCCCTGAAATCGATGGTGAGGTATCAATCCAGCTTTCGATTTGAAGCACTTGCCACATTCCTCAGAAGTGAGCCTAACGAGTCCATCTTGTGTACTGGTTAAAACTGATGATAGTGTACATCTTTTAAGGTAGCCAGCACACTGAAACTAAACAGGGTGGAGTTGGTGAACTTTAGCTCACCCAGACTGACGTCCACGCTACCCAGTCGGCCCAAAGAGGAAGTGACTCATTTCGTCGACTTGGTCCAGTGTAGCCGGTACGGTATCACTGTATTGATAATTTACCTGAGGTTATCTCGCAACGTCGCATTATCTACAAGCGAGTCTGGGGAAAGGGATGATACGCAGAGATGACCCTCGCATCTCTACTGAACAGTTCATGCAGTTGTCCAACACCGTAGCACTTAATGCAAAGCAAGCTCCATGGAAAAATGTGTTATTGTGAAGTTCACTGAACAAACTCACCTTATTTGTTAAATCTGAGGAGTATAAAGCAAACAATCGTCACTGACCAATTGGAAATTCTGTATAGTTTGTTTTATCCTCAAAGAACGCCGAAGAGCGCCAAAATACGCCAAAGCGCGATTTCATGATTTATTTCTCGTTAACCGGTGATTGTCGGTGACCTTGAAGTTTCGCACACCTAGTTAAAATGTTATAGGCAACATATCACTGAAATATGCAAGCGGAGCAGACTAGCAATCAGCAAGTCACAACTTTAAAAATTATGGTTTCAGCTTCTGGTGAACTGCCATGCAGATGCAACTGTTATTGAACGGGTACGCGATGGATAACTGCATTTTCGAAAGATATACTACTTGGCAGGGATATCCCATGCAATAACAGAATGAGGTAGAAGGTTGATGAAGATTCCAGTACAGTGAAATTCACCAACTAAGTCACTGCGGTGGTCACGCGCATAAGAGGGTGTGCTCCCTTTAGCGCCCATGCTTACCGTTATCCATAGGCTCAAAACATGATTCAGATCAGAACAGCGTCTGAACAAGTTTCAGAATGTGATCGTGCATGATTTGAAACTCACAATCTCCCTATACTATTCCAATACTGTTTAAATTAGTCTGAAACTACAAAAGTCTAAGTTGAACACCCATTCCAATTTTCAGTAACGACCATATCTCAACGCGATCCGAGTGTGCTTGTGGAGAAGAAAATTCTCCTAAATCTCGTCTCAGTGATATTTTTCACTTGTATATCGAAAAACTTTGGAGGATAAATGGAGGATAATTGCGTCGTTTTGTCCAGTTTGAGGCTCAAATCAGCCACGTGTGGTTGTAACAGATGTCCGGTAAGATTTTGCCTTCTGGTGGCATCATAGCAGCTTGAGCGCAGCCAACCCAATAACTTCCATTTTCACCTTCCCTACTCAGTTGAAGATCGACTTGCCAAGAAATAAAAGATTGAAGCGCCGCGCCGAAGTGCAGAATGCCTCTATCCAAAGTGCTAACCGCTGATAAGAAAGGAAGCTTGGGTTTTACTCTCTGCGAGAGACGACCTGCCAAGGTTTCTCACGGGTACCCGTGAAACTGACCACATAATACCGGTGTATTCTGACAAGAACCGTTTAGACGCAACAGTTAGCTTTCTTTTCAACTTTTTTAGTATCACCAACGTTGCTGACACGCCTGGGATGTGACGTCTTGCTTAGATTACTTTAAGGCACCTGACCTAATCTAATTGATTGTTGCACGCCCCATCGCCTTAGTGCCAGATAAGTGCTCGTCGGTAAAGAACATGACAAATAATATAAACGAGCGAGTGCAAAATTACGATAGTCTGGCTCTATTTAAGTACACTATTTGATACAGCCCCATGAAATATGATCGGCGTTTGGCGAACATCCTTCAACATCGACCAAAAGATGCGATAACTCTTATGAAAGCAGTTCGTGTATCTGTGGCGTGCGGGGGGACTCATCGACTTCTACTGAATTGGATAAGTAATTGACCAGCATGAATGCTTGTCGGTTTCCCTCCTGAGATCTTAGTGTATTTTAAGTTTCAAGCAGATGCCGGGCAAACTGGGGCTCTCTTTAGGAGTTTGCCCCACCTGGCACAGGAGGGAGGCGCGCACGATTGCTTGACATAGGCGACAACAAAGGATTAATTTTTGGGAATACAACACAAAATGAGCCGACTATCCAGAAAACGGCTCGTCCCTCAGCATGAACTTCTGCTTCTCAAAATGGAGGAGTTTGTTGGTGATGTCCAAACCATAAGAAGTTGTGTCACCTGTAATCTTCAAGCGAAACTGATGACTAATGGTTCACTCAACCCCGAAAGTACACGAACTGTCCCGGAATTCGTCCACGTTCCCAGCGATTTCACGGAATGGACGAATGAACTAAGTTTAAATGCGCTACCCGGGAAGATCAAATTTCAACGGCAAAATAGCGCACCAAATCAAAATTGTAAACAAACTGATTAGAAATGAAAGATGATTTTGAGCGACAAGGAAAAATTCAAATATGGAGGAGATTTTAAGGCCTTCTACGATATTGCTTGTGCATTACAAAATACATACCCTATTCACTCTGTGACCAATAACTTGTGTGAAGGCATAGTTGACATCAACATAGACAAAATACGGTGAGCAAAACTTTCAGAATGAATTTCATCATTCCAATCAGTTTATGTGACTGGAGTCCAGTTATTCAATCAATTCAGATAAACCGAACGCTCAAACATATCGGGTTTCGTAGTTGTGATATTTCCCATTCAGGTGAGCGCACACCTTATGCTTAGTTTGCATTTCTATTCCGAGTACGCCACAAAAAAAACTGGTATTTAAAGGCATTAGATAATCTAATACGAATGTGTATACGTCGCGTAATACGTTTTCCTCCTCCTTGACCGTGAACAATCTTGATAAACGCACGATAGACCTCAAGAATACCTAATTTCTTCATCCACATTCTACCCATTTTCGAACTACCTTCGGCTTTTTGTTTAACGTCGGTTCTCATCAGCGTTATGAATCGACTAGCCTGTGGTACTCTCTGATTATCGCGCGTGTGATCTTGTCTCTCTTACACTTACCTTAACTTTAGTACCAATAGTCCACAACAAACTGATTGGTGTTGCTTCTGGACACTATTCATCCCTAATTTCTGTGATCCTGACCTCTGTCTCCCAGTGGGTCATATCGAGTTTCTGAAGTACCGGTATGTCGTTCACGTCGTTCTAGCTCACCCCCCGGTGGCCGAATCGTATGGTAAACCAGATTTCAATGGTACATGCTTCACCATAAGTCCAAGCCCTCATATCAGGTCGGAGGCGAAAACTACCCTTAAAACAAATACAACAAATCGGACTGAATGCAGCAACAACATCAGAAATACTCTGATGCTGTCGGACGAACGCGGCGTAGTAAGTAGCAAAACTGGCACACCAAATCTTGGGCGGTTCGAATGCCATCACATTCCCTTTCACCCTTAACATAAGAGAGTGAGACTAGGCACATAATGTTGTGTGAAGAGGGCGGAGAATAAGTGTGACAATTAGCAAAATATGGGTGCTGGGACGGAAGCTAGACAGGTCGAGCCTTCTGGTAAGGCAGTACGGATGACTCAACAGGAGGCTGCTGCTACATCAAACCAGAGTCCAAACAACGAGCAAAATATCATTTTCTATGGTCCACAAACCACAGGCTTGAAGATCGTCAGTCTGCCAAGACGCTGCCTTGGAGGGTTACGGCGTTCATATTTGGGGGTTGTTAACAAAACGGCGGAGGCTGATTGGGAAATGCAAACACCATCTAAAGGTTGAAATGAGAAACAGGTTCATTGAAAATGGTCTGCTCTAACGTAAGTAGAAATGAAAACCTTTTATTGGTAAAGCAGTCTTTATGAATAAAATGGTTCTATGGTCATGGATGAGGGGGTTTGTGATGAGGTTCGCAGTGACTGCAAACCTCAGGCGCGATAAGATGGTCACCTGCAATCATGATGTGTTGAAGGCTCTAAAACTCCGCGCTGACCAAACAAGATTGTTTAAACGACCACGGCTATATTGTCTGTGTCGTCATGACTGTCACCCCTCCTGGTCTATTTGTGCAAAACAACGCATTTTGTAGATGAATGTAATAGTGTGCCCCACGGTTCGTGTCTAATGTCGGAGCTGAGAAGTATTCTTCGTAAGGTGTTAGCTACGTATAAGGCAAATGTCTCGAGCTTGTCAACGGGGCGTGATGTATACTCCGGAGCGCATAGGTTCAAATACCAACATACGTAGTGCGGGCGACGTGAGCGCATAGATGGGATTCCAAAACTCTATTCATCTGAGCCATCTTTTGGCACAGAATCCAGTGCCATTCCAAGCACCGGTAGTCGATGCAGTATGGGACGACTTTACTTGGCACTTAACACCCGTGATCAAATCCGGCTCCAAAACCGCAGACAAGAGTTGCGCAGTCTGGTGACGGGCTAAGAAAGTAAAATCGCTCGCTGGTGACGGGCTAAGAAAGTAAAATCGCTACAATAGATACAAGGCCAGAAACAGTTATAAAAAATTTATGCCTGATACCATGGAGTAAAAGCGAATCCACTCTGAGACACTACGCCTCTAACTTACCGGCAGACCGACTACTTTAACTGCTAGGTTTGACGCTGACAAATAGCGGCTATACAAACAAGTCATGATATTTTAGTTTGATCCAACAAGGGTCGTTACTCATGCCCGTGCGGAAGAAAAAGTAATATCAATAACTAGTAATTGTATTTTACGCAACCAGAACCAAAATAAAGAATCGAAGGTTAGATAGCAGCCAGGTTGGGGAAAGAGAAGTGAAAAACTCCACGGATCAATTGAAACAATTTTGACGTGGAAAAGAGTTAGGTAAATCGTAAAGTGGGGATGAGTCTAGAATGAAATATGGATGCGTGGTCACCACAGCGCTGAGAGAAGCAGAAAATTGAAACACAAAATGCAAACTTTACAAATCAAAAGTAGCACAATACACCTTCCTTATGCCTTAGCAAGATAGGGGTGTTTCAATAAGTATGAGTGTTGTTCATGTTCTTTTCGGTGACAAGTTCTGCTTTCTCCAGACAGGAGCCACCGTCAATCTCATTTCAATCCTCTTGAGTACAGGAAAGTTTAGTGAGCTCAAGTTACGAAACTCACTACCTGAACACTCCATTTCTTGGCGTCATATTCCTCTTGCGGGAATATTATTCAACTGTTATCAAAACTTTCACATCTCTTTTAAGTAATGATGTGGTTATCCCTAGCCTTGGTAGTTCTGAACCAAAAAGTTGCAGAACTCAATGTCACCCTCAGTTAAGAAAATTCATCATTGTTATTTGGATGAATTTACCACCTTAGACTTTGATAACAAAAACAGTATCTTACCAACCTCTTCCTTACAGGACACGTAAGGACGGGAGATAATGAAAATACAGTCTAAAGCGTTGTTTGCCTGCAGCACTCACCACTGTCAATAAGGTCTTTCCCCTTCAGTGACTTCAAAATCTACGTTTAATTTGTAAATGTGTAGAGTGCTGTTACTCAAGATAGTCTTTTACAGGAAAAAGTTTACTCATCTGGTTGCCTTTATCAACGGTCTAGGAAATTTTGCATCTTTATAATTTTAAGCGTTTGTTGAAAACATGAGGACCTCAGTGCTGAGTACCGGCGATGAAAACCAGCTGTCTACCCTTCTTCCAATGAAACAAAAGTTCTACAATATGCTGGACTAATAACCACGGCGCTTCACAGTAGTGTAAGATGTATGTTTTCTATGAGTTGCCGTACTCTGTATTTTCTAGAACTTCCAGTTTCCTTTTCTCATTCTTGTGCTGGCCATAAAATCTCGGTTGATCATTGACTTTACGAAGCATCATCCCAACAGTTAATTTAAGATAACTCTTGGCTTTTATCAAACAAAAACACATACTTCTAACAAACAGCACTATAAACAAAACTGTTTGTTTTACTAGCTTGTTTGGAAGCTTTTGTTAAATCATCTGCAAGTTTTATCCATTTTCCAAATTTTGGCTTTGGGTGTTATTGCGGTAAACTTTTTATCATGACTGAATTCACGCCGGTTCAATAAATTAAAGTATGGCAGAATTATGGCACAAAGTATACTACTGCTGGTTTATAGAGTACTTTGTAAGTAGGCCCTCTGAACTGGCTGAGCAACTTCCTTTACTGTGGTGTACAACGTCGTGACAGCCCCTTATTCTTTTAAGGCAAACTGGTTTCAACAATAACATATCCGAAGGAGTGATTGAAATAAAGTTGTGCAAGTTTTATGCAAACATAAGATGCGCTTAAGATGAGAGTCTCCAGTCTTCCATCTTCTTACAGCGTCCAACAACCAACAGTAGTAAATGAAACACCCACAGTGTTGAAATGTCGGAAGTTATACTGCAAATACTGTGCACTCGTTAGATGGCTTCTGAGTTGAATACTGCAGATCAGTTATCAAGACAAGCAAAAAGGCGACCTATGATCTAAATAATAGAATTGAATAGAGGTAGGCATCCACACGTATAAACTGAAATGGTCCAAAAAACAAGCATACTAATGATAGGGCGCATCCTCAGGATACTGTTTAACAAATGAGTTGTTAAACTAGACGCTTATTGAAGTAAAATATTATGACTGCAGTACATCTAGTAAATCGGACAAAGCACAGACTTGCATCATCAGTATACTGTCCAACAAATGAGTTGTTAAACTAGGCGCTTATTGGAGTACAATATTCTGACTGCAGCACATCTAGTAAATCGGACAAAGCACAGACTAGAAAGGCTTGTATTAACTAGGAGAAATAGCCGGTATATTTTATTGTTTTCAAACACAATGTGGTGCTTAGCAGGAAAAAGACTTCGGATGGTTTTATGACGCTCGTCATTTTATGTACCATTGGGCTAGTCAGCTGCCCAGAGGCTTCCATTTTTGGAGTATCTGCAGCAGTGTATTACGCTGATCCTGCTTATCTCATGTTTTTTTGAGGACAATAGCCTGATAACTTGTTACTGAAAGCAATTAGGGGACGCCAAATTACTTTTCATACAGTCTTAAAAGGATTAAAAAAGGATCGGTCTAATTCAAAAAACAACATCTGTGAGTTAATTCCCATTGCCAGAATATCCGCTCTTCTGACCAAAGTAAGTGAACGGGTGCTTGCCCTCCAAACCGTATGGCCGTATACGAAGTGAAGACATCATAAAAGCAACTAATGGTGCATGTGCAGTGTTAACGCTGTAGAGACGTATCGTCATCCTAAGCATGTTCTTGATTTTCTTCTAGCTTGCTACTGAAATAGCATAGCTATGCTTTTTGTAAAGCAGCTGCCCAGAGGCTTCCGTTTTTGGAGTATCTGCAGCAGTGTATTACGCTGATCCTGCTTATCTCATGTTTTTTTGAGGACAATAGCCTGATAACTTGTTACTGAAAGCAATTAGGGGACGCCAAATTACTTTTCATACAGTCTTAAAAGGATTAAAAAAGGATCGGTCTAATTCAAAAAACAACATCTGTGAGTTAATTCCCATTGCCAGAATATCCGCTCTTCTGACCAAAGTAAGTGAACGGGTGCTTGCCCTCCAAACCGTATGGCCGTATACGAAGTGAAGACATCATAAAAGCAACTAATGGTGCATGTGCAGTGTTAACGCTGTAGAGACGTTTCGTCATCCTAAGCATGTTCTTGATTTTCTTCTAGCTTGCTACTGAAATAGCATAGCTATGCTTTTTGTAAAGACTGTAGTAATGATGTGCAATTTATGGGAGTAGCATCAGCATCAGTAATTACCAGTTTGCATTATCTAACAAACGGTGAAGGTTGGCACCGCTGCAACAATTATACGCGGTTTATGGCTTCCCACACAACTGCCGTTAACGCTTACCTGACTGAACTGAAAATGATTATGACGATAAAAACGATGAAAATGAGGTTGATTATTTTGATCCCGAATTATTGATTTTCTGCGGTCTGTTGAATACAGACGTCTACCTGAAATTAACTAGCACCAGTGACACTTGGGTGTCTAGAGGATGTCAGCATATAGCTCACCATACCAGCCACGCGAAGGGCTCCTCAAGGTCGCTAACACACATTCTCCGTAATTCAAACACACAACTTTGACGGATGGCCAGCATCCTCGGCAGTTCAAATGAAAGCGCCCCTTTCCGCTAAGCAGGAGGTTAGTAATCAAATATTCTTCTAGTATTAGCCCTTTATTTACGATTTGTTAAGCCGCCCTTCATCTTCCTAAGTCTACAATTTCCTTTATCAACTTTTACCAAACAGATATTTTCCTTCTATTGTTAGCCATGATTTGACGGAGCCAGTCAAAAGCACTTGTATGGAGAAACCGCTTTTTAGTGGATGGCGCAAAATAAAACCAGTATTTCTACCTTTGGTTACACGTCTCCTTATGATATTAACATTATTATATTTAAACGTTATGCAACGCTAGCTCAATGAACAACCACTTTATTAACTCAGACCTTCGTAATCTTGCAAGAAATTGGCCACCGCAGAATTTCGGAAAAAATTAATGTAAGGCCTTGAAAACGTTTATTCTAAAGTTCCAAGTAAGTATGCAATACCAAAGGAATTTGCAGACATTTTATGAATTCGTTTGATTGCATTGCGGTTGGTCACATAACTTTCGTCATATTTGTTGCTAATTTTTGTTGTCCAGTTAACATCGTTGTAAACAAGCCAGTCAAATCAGTGAATGGTGTTGTTAGAGAGGGTTTTGCTAGCTATACTCGAGCATTTTGCTGGCAATCATGTTTAAATTTGCTTGTCTCTTTGGAAATGTTTAGTTCAGTGAATGTCTCCATAATCGTTTTTAGAATGCCCAGTTACCAAGCCTCGCCGTCCGGCGCCAGCCTGGATATCGAACCCGAAAATTCTACGATCCATCTGCCAAGCCGTTGCTTCTTCTCTACAAATCACAACTGCCCTGGTGTTTCTGGAATTAAAAAACATCCCATTAATCCAGGCAGATGTGAACTGTCTTTGCAAAGTAAATCAGGGTGTTTCTCATTGGTTGTTCATTTTTTGAGATGTTCTGGTGACATAAGATGCTCAGTTCAGTTAATGAGCGATGGAAATAACACTGAGAAAATCGTCCAAAATTTACAGTGGAGAATGACTGAGAGCTAGAATTAGTCGTTCAAACGAGAAAAAATTAATCATAAGCATCTTGAGCAACTGAATTATCCTGTTAAGAGGTTTCGGCAAATAACTTATTTGAACATATTTTGTATATTCTTCTGGGTAATGGTTGACAAGTTTAGTTGCTTTGGAATGTCCTAACCATACATTTTTTGCGCAAGTGACCGTAGATTGAATCGCAACTACAAAATAATTTTGAGCTATTTAGTATATAATCAACTAAAGAAGATAGCACCTGTTATTGAGGGAAAGGCTGTTGCGTTTGAACTTACCATTATTGACTGGAAAACGCTACAAGTTTGCGGAAACTACTCCGTTGTCACCATATTATCATTCCTGGCATCCAGCTGCCTAGAACGCAGTAGCTAATCACAAATACGCCGAATTGAAGAGTTTTCTACCTAAAAGAGTTTGAAGAAGCTTTACTACCTGATTTCTATTGAGACTAGCAGCTGTTGTTTAGGGAAGCTTTCCAGAATTTTACTGAGTTCTGCTGGGAAAAAGTAAATGGAGTGATCATCTAAATTTCATTATTTCGTATGCGTTTTGACTCTCTAGTCGAGGCAACAAACTGAATCCAATGTTGTACCATGTTGATCTATTTCCTGCATCAATTATTTCAGATGTATTGCCACTTTTCCGGGTTAATCTAAAAAATTCGACAAATAAGCGCTTTTCATGAAAGCTCGAGCACTCTAATCTCACAAAGCAACTTTAGTTTTCCTGCAGAGGTAAAATGTGTGCTGGTGTCACAACACTTTGTTACTAAATAGCTGTTTGGTGAGTACGTTGCGGAGTACCGGAGGATATGCCTACTGCTCCTTGATTAATCTGAAACATTTACGCTCGGCCAGTTCACTTATCGCGACCTCCTTCTGATGGTCTACTTATATATATCAGATATCGCGTAGGGGTTATAAAATCAATCAATGAAAATCCCCTTTCTTAAGCATTTAACGATGCCACCTAGACAGTCACATTCCTCACAAGAAGCTGACTGAGCTGCAACAAACACAACCTCGTATTTTTTTGTAACCTTCTCCTAAGCTTGGTTTAGTTTTCTGCATTAGAACACATACACAATACGCTTGATTCAATAATTTAAAGCCACTGTAGTCATTGGGTCCGCTTCTGAATAGAAATTATGTGCACGGAAGTTTCCAGTCTACAATTTTAGCTGGAACTCGCCCTTGTAATTTTTCTATCAGTATAAGTTAAAATTAATGTGATAAAGGCAATCGTTCAGCGCTAACTTCCTTTTAGTATACCTACTACAACGAAGGAGGAAGATGTCTGAGAGACTGTCAAGTTGTCGAAACGTAGGCAGGAGCAATCGAAAGCCAAGGCTGGGTTCAAACCACATATCCTTTTAGTATACCTACTACGACGAAGGAGGAAGATGTCTGAGATACTTTCAAGTTGTCGAAACGTAGGCAGGAGCAGTCGAAAGCCAAGGCTGGGTTCAAACCACATAGCCTCCGGTCAGTAAGTCCTCGCCTTGCCCAATAAACTTTCTCGAGATCACTGGTCATATTAAGTCTTCAAAGTATCGTGTGAAGGGTAAACTGCAAGTACATTTGTGCAGCCACGTACATGCAAACACTATGCATGGTATATTGTAAAATGCGCAGCTTACTTTTGATCAATATTCACAAGAGCCTTATTTCCAATGTTTTCCCTGATACTTCATAGAGAGACGCAACACTCCATGTCGTTTTGTTTCAGGGCATTGCCAACAACCGAACACTTCGACATCTCTCTTTGAACGGCTGTCCAATAGGCGATACAGGCATTGCAGGTACGTTATATTCAATATAAGTTATTGGAACTGGTTCGCGATACTTGGTGCACAATCATGTATCCCAACGCGGAACTGGAAAATTTAAATACTTAGATCAAGCGAGTAGCGAAAATTTGCCGGGCAACGTAGCCTTCAACTGTAACACTAGTCACTTTCCGGAACAGCAATATTCGGAGAAATTAGTTTGAATCCTTCTTCCGCCACTGTCTTACAACAAAGTAACTGAATTGGGTATTAAGTTTTGGCACAAAGGAATTCTACTTTTGCACGGCTCGTTTAGCTATTTCAGTAACACCATTTGCGTCGAGATAGATTTACCGGCAGAAACATTGGTATAGAAAAAACGTAGATGGGATGTCGTTTTTAGGGCAGAAATTTATCGCAATTAAATTGACGGCTTAGAGGAAATTGGCCAAGATGAACCTGACTATCATAAGTAGTGGCTGATGACACGGTCAGAGACTACTATATTAAATGAAACGTTGCAGTGTTCGTCGCTACATGAACACTCGCTTAAGCGGAACATAAGACCAACCAGTTCACTAGGGGTAGTGCATAATAACACGGTATCTACCAGGATGTTTCATCCAGCGATAGTGTCTGAATACGTTGAACGTCCCGCATTACTTCTTCATGTTGGATTACTTAAAAAGATAAGGCATTATTTCTCCAGCCCTGAAAGCTAAGATAACTTTTACGAAAGCAACATCATCATCATCATCGACGGCATAACATCAGTGTTCAAAACCGATGATTCGCTACCGTACAACCATGATTTAAGCAACATCAATAGTTACGTCAAAAAATTTAGCCATCAATTTGCCAGTGAAGTCCAATGAAGGGTGTATGTATCGGTCTACTCAGTACACTCAGTCAAGGAGGAAGTGTTGTCCGTGTCTGCTGAGCCTGTCGGCTCCTCATAGGTGGACATACTTTCCTTAGCACATGGCACTGCACTCTTACCTGTGGCCCCAAGTAGCTGTTTAACATCAACAGTGGCTAACCGTATGCTACTTTTGAAGACGGACTGGACCTGTTGATGATATCCTAGAGGCCAACTATTGAGGATTTCTTTGGAAACCATTGTAAAATTTTCAACGTATTAGACAGTAGTCAGCTGGGCTAAACGTTTATATTGGTTCCACTGTTTGACAACTGCCTTCATTTGACCTTTTTGATTGGATTTGAATTCTGTGCGACTACCAGGAGTGAAAATTTTGGAACGTCCAGTTACCATTACTGCAGGAAACCCCACATTCGATTAGGTAGTGCTTTGTCGATGATGATTGTCGGGATTGGAAAACTGCGATTCTCAGTTCAGATTCAACCACCAAAAGTCAGTGTTAGAAAATGCAACAAAGTTCGACGAGCCATCATAACTTTGAGAAGCTATCTGACATGACATGGCAGGTTTTACGCTGTTATTGAAAGCCACAGGAAAAATGAGGGTAAGAAAATAGAGTAAAATTATCCTAACAGGTCATATTACTCGCGTGGATGCTGAGTAGCGTGTTATGTACACAGAATTTATTGCGAAATCTCAAACATGCATCTCCCCCGCTGGAAGGATATCATAAATGAGAGGTTGAGATGACATTGTTAGCACCAATGTAACCTGAAAATAAATTTCGCCACAAGGTTAGTGTTTTAAAACTTACTTGTTAATATGCTGCAAATGTTGTTTGAGATGATGCAATTGATCCACCATTGTTCTTCCCCATACAACCCCTTAAAAATTCGTGATGATTAAATGTTGATATGTTCAGCAAAGTTAGTATAAACCAGGACATTTTAAACATCCAGTCCTATAAGAACCTGTGCCGGGAAACGCATAAAGTGGGGGACAATCATTACGCCTAGATTTTTTATCATTTAGGTATCTAAAACCGCTTATTCACAGTAAATTAGTCATGGCGTAGTTGTTGTGCGCATTTAACAGATATCGGCTCTATCAAACACTGCAAATAAATGTGCCGGACATACATACTGGTCAGTTTTGGGCAAATCCATAGTCGTCTGATAAATTCTACCGCATATCCATGGAGCTTTCCGGTAACGTGGAATAAATGCACCTCGCCGAATCAAGAGGCATTCACAATGAAGTGAACAAGGTCAGGATGCATCCAGTAATAAAGAACTCACACAAAGTGTGGGCTTTCAGTGTAAACAGCTCAACCGAGTCTGGACAAGTCCAAAAATGGTTGAGGTGCACCAAAAATCAGTTCACCGATAGATTTACTACCACTAGTTAAGGGTTTTGAGCATGAAAGCTACCGAACAACTAGGTACGTCAAGTGAACCACTTGGGCTAGACTATCATGCATGAAATTCGGTGATAGCAATATCATTTCGGAAGCAAGTCATGGCAGATAATCGCAAGTCTTACGTTAAGACAATTGCGGTACTCTGTGTTCAGCCGTTATGAGTAGTTTCGTCCCGAAAGTTCAGGTTACGAGTGTATTGTTTACTGACAGTCTGTGCAACATATGAACGCACTACTTTTTTTTAACAACTGGCCTATCCACAGTTTAAACCCATTTTCGATTGGTTGGTAGTGTCGAGTGCCCTCACCGGAGGAATAATTCTAAAGGCGACTAGCACTGAGCCGCATTTGAAACAAGCCAAACGATGTTTACCCATCCTAGACTTAAAGGAATAAGGCGTGGACTAAACAGGTGGAAAGGTTAAAAACCTTCAGGATGTACGGCTGATAGTCCTACTTTTCGTTCCGTGTGTCAATAATAGCGGAAATCCACAATGAAATTCGATTTCACTCAGGTAAAATGTTATGATTTGGTTCGTCTGATGCGATACGACATTGGTCGCAAAGGGTCTAGCTACAGGTCATGTTACCAAGCTTCAACTAAAGGTCAGGAAGACTTGTTTTTTTCTCTGCTTTTTCGCAAAAATAACACCGTCTGTTCCACCTGGTCCTCGTCTGCTATAAAAAACTGGCTAAAGAGTGCTAGATAATCTGATAAGTAAACAAAAATACTCCCAACTGGATTGATTATTAAAAAGCCAAGTAATATTTACCGAGACTAATCCAGCATACTAAGACAAGGAAAGCTATTTATTGAGAGGGGCATCGGTATGGTTTGGCAGAAAGAAATTGCCACATACTATCTTTGACAATTTTCGGTCAAGATCAGAGGCGAGAACACAACTAAGGACGTAAAGAAGTACTATAACACATTATGAGGTCACGCCAAGAGCTCGGGAATTCAGTAACTTCACATGGCTGACTAGTCCACATTCAGTCAGTAAGTAAAAGTTTCCAGGCTCAAATCCGCCCAGGAGCTAGTGAGATGCACAACGCTTTACATCTTTATAACAAGGACGGTCTTTATCTACTGGATAAAGTTTCAGACAGTACCCAAATATTATCCAGCCTCCATTGCAAGAGTCTGTAACCTGCTTGAAGGGAATCACATATCAATGTTTTCCTTTTCAGGAGACAAGCCAGTTAAACACTTCGGAATTTTTTTCAATAGCCAAGAAAAACAGTGAGCAGCGTTGGGAATGAAAATTTAATTGCATAAAAACAGTCTTTTTTTCTCATTTTCTGTTAAGGATATTCGTTAGTGACATTCTTCGCAGGATGGGTTAACGTATCCAACCACACAGGCTGAAGGTTGGTTTTGTGACGTTATGGTTCAAGGAGAAAAGCTGTGGGAATCCCACACATTTCCCCATAGGTTCCTGCTCTCAGTGTCACAGTCGAGCAATCTTGCAAGCTTTTCAGAATTTTTGGTAACAAAGGCAAAGATGCTTTTTGATTGGGGTACAGCAGCTACATCGGTTTTGAAAAATTCTGTAATCCATGTTGAAGTAGATCTCCTCATCACTCAAGTGAAAACTACCCATGTACACCGAATAGGCGGGTTAGCTTTCCTTATTGCAACCAGTTGAGTGCATTAGACAGGTGAGTAGGAAGGAGTGTTTATTGCTCATCTCTTGATGAATGAGGGTGTGGGGGCTGTGTGAGCTTCAATACACACACGTAGTTACAAGATGAATGATCTGTTTTGGTGACAGATGAAACGGATATTGATGACTATTTTCACATCGTGTTTGTTCACTCAGGCTGACGACTAATGGAAGTGGATCCAAATGCATCCTGACAGTCGAAACGTGGCTGCCAACGCACTAATCCAACTTAGATCCTTATTATTTATTTGTACTGATAAAAAGACCAGTCGCCGTGTTACAAGGACAACAGACTAACGCTGAATTTTACCTTACTTGAGGTCGACCAATTTTGTTGGGATAGGTTCCAGGGGCCAGAAATTTCCTAATTTTCCTAGTTATATGATGCTTAGTTGTTCTCGGAATAAAGGTTATATCAGAAAATATGTCTACTAGGTGAAAAAGGACTTAATTTAAAAAAAAAGGCAGTTGTTAGTCATTTATGAACTTGATGTTAACGGGAAACTCAGCGGAATCGAAGATGAATCTCCCGTTTAGTGCATTCTTCAGCGAAATTCGTTACACGAAGACTGCTTCATGTTTCACTGGAAATATCACAATATATTTTCTATCAATGAAATATGCTACTCCTAAGTTTGCTGAAAACTCTTTGAAAGCCCATGGTCGGTTTAGCCCTTCTTCGGACGCATCACTTGAGCACAGCCCCTGGTTTTCTGTTAACCCTTTATGATTGAGGAAAGGACTTTAAGAGTTTTCATCAACCATGTGAGTAGTTTGGGTCTCTCAAGTCGCCATTATGTTTTGGTAATCACACGTCAGAGTTTATAGTAGAACGCAAACACTAAATAAGTATTCATGTAGAAATATTTTTTCTGAAGATTTTCCTGAAGATTAAGGCTCAATCGAATTTATTAGCTATAAACCGCTTGCCATAGGCACACTGCTTCCGGCTCCTACAGTTTCGATCAGCGGAGAGCGGAAAAGTGGAATAAAATCCAAAAGTTGGAGACGAAGTCATGTTCCGTTTGTTCGGAAAGTGGGTATCTAGGCACAAAAGGTGATACACGAGTGTCATTGACTGCGATTGGGCCATTTCCGCCAACGTCAACTATCACTGATTTGCGTCCCGGAATCTCCATCTAGGGAGGCGGCAGTTGCCCACCCGACTTAGATTACTGGTTAGCGCTTTCGTAATTCGCTGCAAGACCATATATTGTCCACATCTCGGTCGCTTTCAGTCAGCATAGGGCCGGGAGAAAGAGCTCTGTGAGGCAGATGGTCTTCTGGCATGCAGGGTACATGTCCCGACAGGCACAACTTATGGGGCGTGAGTAATTCATTTGTCGTGGGAGAGTTCCTTCTACCTAAGACCATCTGGCGTCCCCTAGCATTACTAATCCGATGTTCCCACCAGAACTGACCAATGCTTTGAAGACACCGATGATCAAACATTGACATCTTCCGCATGCCCTCTACGCGTGGATTTACATGTCTGCGGCTCACCTGGTTTACGGAAGTAAATGCGGTGACAGAAAGTCTCCATAATATCGATACGACCCACATTCCACGACGGAAGCTCTGCTTTTGACTGAGCATTCCGTAAAGAATGACTCACAGCTGACTTCGGTTACCTTCTCCCTCTCGATTTCTCTCCAGACTGTGAGTGTGTGCATGAGATGCCCGTAGCATTGTAGAAAGCGTACATTCCTCTGTCTCCGCCTACTGTTTGTGTCCACCACAAAGATTACAATGGAATTATGGCTGTGCGGGATTGAAGTATTTGTGTTCCACAGTAGTGTACTGTCGACAGTGCTCGTGCCGTAGATTGAAACATGGCAAATTTGAGTAGTTATTTGAACTAGCTTATTGATCCTCATCAGAATCCAGTCTTGTATTTTCGTGGATTCCAGATGTCAGGGCCTGATCACTCATAACGGGGGGATAAACTGGTATCTTGCGTAGGTTTTTATGATAATCTACCATAATGTCATACCAGCGTGTGTCTGACATGGTTTTGCTGCAATGAACTAGCTGTGAAAGACTACCTGGTACGTCCCACATTTATTTTGATCACCTTTCTACTTGACACTGTGTACCTTGTATTTGGGTATTGATATGTTCGGCTTCGGCCCGAAAGGGAAACATGGAGCTACATTTGTGCAGCATATTGCGAACGAGGAATTCAGCCGAGTGATCACTAAAATAATTCGCAACCAGATGACTGTTGCAACCAACATAGAAAGTTTCACTTCACGAAATACTAAAGTGGTTTTAAATGAAGATTCAACCATATTCCAGCTGATTCTGATTTGTGATGTTTTTCAAGTGAATGCTCTGTAAAAGTACCGCCTAATTTAGATCAGATAGGAAATATCCAAATCGGTGCGCTAATGTGCGTGTTTCGCGAATTTCGTACCGTTTTGGGTTCGAGTGGAATACGAAACTAACAAAAATTTAGGAATTGCGGTCACGTGATGAGCACGAAGAAAAAATAGCCGTGGTTTATTAAGAGGTTGTCAGAAAAATTATGAATGGTGTTTTACATCTGAACGAGATCTTCGTATGTCGTGCCAACTGCAATCCAGCTTAATGAAGAATATGAATAGCGAGAGATTCACCTGGTATTCAGGTGAGTCTTCCTTCAAAATTCATTTTGTGTGCAGATGAGTTTATTCTGAAAATGTCTCTTACATTAAATTTAAATAAAACATGTATTTAGCGGAAAATTGGGAGATTCGCCTACTTAATGGATCTGAAGGACAAAACCGGTGGCTCTCGAATATTAATATTGTTCCTTCAAGTTCAACTCTTTCACTCACCCAGAACAAAGTTGAAGCAACTCACATTTCTCACGATCTTGGTAAAATAAACAGAAACGGTCCAACATAGGCAACTTTAACCAAGGTAACTAGGCTGATGAGGAACTAATTTCAGCTAGGCTAGGTGTGGAGCAGATCTGGAATCTGATCTGCGCTCGGTATAAGAGGTTTGCTATTTGCTGCTACGTGAGAGGCTAATTTCCACGCGCACGTTGTGTGCAGTTGGTTAAAGAAAGAGCTTTGCTTTATTAATTCAGATTACTTAAGAACAGCGCCGAATGACTTCGTACACTTTTAGCCTTCTCATGAGACGTCTTCCAGAACAGTCACTAGGATTTACCTAGGACGGGGTTCGCTTAGTTCTAAAATGGTTCTTCACACTTGCAGCAGTGACATTCACAGTGACGCCTTCCGAGCAGCTTGTCCGAGACTACTTCAGCAATCATCTCATTCATTCTCTTTGAATTCATCTGGTATCTTTCATAAAGAGCATAATTTTCACGGTTTTGAGACAAGATAATCATGATGTTATATCCACTCTCATTGAAAAGTGATCAGTTATATTGCCAGCTGGCAGCTCATTATAGCAAGGCATGGTGTTGACCTACTTACTAGTAGGTCATACGTTGGAGTAACCTTATAAATAAACCGACACAAACGCCTTGACTTCTCCACACAGACAGTCTTAGCTTGCGGGAAGAGATCGTCGTAGAACCAACTTTATCCCTAATTATGCCATATCGGCAGCTCTTACAACTGCTTGGGATACGGTGAAACCCTCCACGACGGGCCATGCTAAACCATTCATTGGCTGAGAGGGCAAACTATTCTATTATTGCACTAATAACACAGTTTTCCAGCTTTTTTGACGGTAGTCTAGTTATCGGCATATTGGAAGTTCGAATTAAGTGTTGGGTGCCCGTGAGTAAAATTTAAGTTTGGCTGTAGCACCGTATGCATCGGGGTTTGCTTCAAACTGACCGGAGAGCACCAGGATTATGATGAATGAAAACAGTATTGGCGACGATACTCTTTTGTTTTTATTGCTAAAGAAGCGTCTTTCATTAACCAACCATCTCCCATGTTATCGTATTGTCAAATGACGAAATGGGCATCACACAACATCTGGAGCCATTACGTGAAGTTTTACCGTCGACCTTTAACTTGATTAGAAAATTCGGTTGCATTGGTCCTGGGTTGTGTTGGTACAAGGCAGTCAGTAAAAAAGGTTAGTTAGTAAGGTAAAATAATTTGGATACCGATTGGGTTTTGACGGGAGACTCACCTGGAACCCAGATGAATCCTTCATTTATGATCTTTTTAAGCAACTGGATGTGCTGCACCAGGCTGCCTCATGTTTCATTTGGCCCGATATTCGTAATATCGCGATGCCTGTATGGACACAATACATTGCTAACAGGGTTGTTGAAAACTGTTCGACAGCCCACGACGGTTTTCGCTTTTCTTGGGTTAGTTCATCAGGCAGTGTAATTCGACATCTTTCTGTTCATCGTTAGATTTAAATTCATCCGGTAAATTTGGATGAGAAGCGGTGTTGGCTGCAGCTTACCTACGAATCCGATTCTAATGTTGCTACCAGTGTTATTGTTAGAAGTGCTTGATAAAGACAATCAAGGTGAGTGCTTTCCATGCAGCGATGCCCTCTCGAGAGGTTTTATTTTGACACAATGATCCGTGCATATGATGGACCATTGGCAAATCCGTTCGTAATTAATATGAAAACAACATTAATGAAGATTTCAGTCTTCGATCTTTGTTTTAGACTTTATTTCTGCGTCTATCTCTCAAATATGTGTGTAGATTATCACTAGGAAAAGCCGACTGCTTATTTGAAAATACCCATATGATTATTAAATCCAAACTACCAAAACCAAAGTTCGTTCGACCGTCCGGGTCCAGAAGGCCGATAATCCTGGTTCTTTACCCAGTATTTACTCAAGATACATATCATCTCTGAGAGCGTCTTAAGGCGTCAAGTTGATCTTCTCCGTGGTCTGGTCGGTTTAGCCCTTCTTCGGACGCATCACTTGAGCACAGCCCCTGGTTTTCTGTTAACCCTTTATGATTGAGGAAAGGACTTTAAGAGTTTTTATCAACCATGTGAGTAGGTTGTGTCTTTCAAGTCGCCATTATGTTTTGGTAATCACACGTCAGAGTTTATAGTAGAACGCAAACACTAAATAAGTATTCATGTAGAAATATTTTTTCTGAAGATTTTCCTGAAGATTAAGGCTCATGGCAGTACCTCGGTTGGTAAGCGTAGGTTTCATTCTTTCCTCATCACCAACTATATCTGTATCATTTTAGATTGCTGTATACAACAACATGTGCGGATCAATAGAACCGACTGTCCTTCATATAGGAACAATTAAAAAAATACTGTGCATTTACGTTTTTCGCAAAAATTTTATTTAGAAATCTGTCGAGCCCTCCGTCACGCCCCTGATCTTGCGACGATGAATATTTCCGGTTGTCAAATTACGCAGATCGGAGCAGCTCACATTGCAGAACTGATAAAAGTAAGTTTCTGCCAACTGTTCACATGTTTGTGCATTCCTTGAAGAACATGTTTTTTCAGCTGCAATGATATGTAACGATCTCTTCTGTAGTATCCTAAACATTGAACCCATGTTCAGAAAATTACTCGCGATTAATTGTGGCCTTTGAAGGCACTTCCTAGCTTGGATTTAAGATTACCGCACAGGCAGTGGATCTCATAGTGGGACGTAGCCTTGTGGTTCTAGGTATTACCTCAAGCAGTCCGTCGTCCACTTTAAGCGTAACAAAAGAATTTCAGTATGATACTCCAGAGCAATATTTGAGGTTTGAACGAACCAGCTTACAGCAGGCCAATTTATCACTGAAATTGCTTTAGTAATGGGAAATTTTTATTTCGAGACAGGAAACTCCCAAACGAAAGTGATCAAAAGTTTCCAGCTTCAGCCAACAAGTGTAGTACCGCTTTTAGGCTATTTATCAAAAGAATGAGATTATGGGTAGCCACTGAAGACAGCCACTAGAGGAATCGATCCAGTCTTTTTTCCTTTTCCGTTTCCCAGGCAAGATAAACTCAAATGTGTAACTTGCTGAACCTTGCGTTCGGGGCTGAACCCGGGTCAATGACCCGAGTAGTATGTAGTGTGTAAAAATTATCTCCCGAAACCATGACTCGCACGGGTAAGCGAGTTTACTCTATTACGGAAGCCTTGTGGATATGAAGAAATATACCTGATGTATGCATATATAGATATATCTACTGATATATACCAGGGAACTCAAGTGGCTAAAAGGCAGCGATAGGGTTTAGAGACGTCTGCATGCTGAATGTTACACTAATCAGTGGTTGTTGGAGTGGACAGATTTTCTGCACAGTCTGAATTCTCCACTTTACATAACAGGGTTGAGGTACAGTGTGCCAGACTTTGGTCACTGTTCAAAATCAGGGTAATCGCTGGCATCTTATAGTACCTCCCCGTCTGATTGTCATAATCTTCTTAGTGATTTTGTTCGTTTAAAGTTCCCACAGATTCGGTCCACTCACCAAAGGAACCCGCGTGCGGTCATTTCTGGTAGACCTGTTTTGAAATTTCCAATCTGACTTCACCGAACACCATGCGTTACGAGCGTCAGAGCGTGTCATAATCCTATATGATGTGCTTCGTGCATTGTGTCCATTCCATATGTTTTCACGTCACAAATAGCCAGCGGTATCATGTAAGATTTCAGCCGTAGTGAACTACATTAGTTGCGAATTTCACATACTTCTATTTGGTGTTGTAGTATGTATCGTCGGCGTAAAAACATGGATGCCGAATGTGCCAAAATTTACCACACTTGGGGTTCCTCGTGAGCTCAGAACTCAGGACAAGGTCGTCGCGAGCAAAACCAGTAGACAAAAAGTTTTGCATAACTTTGTGGCCTGTTTTAGCCTCTTTTCTTAGAAGCACACTTGCCGCTCACTGCACAAGGCACGCCAGGAAGGATGCCAGGCACAGGGAATCGGCCAATGCATATAGTTCTCCGGGCTCACGGACTGATGACATGCCTCAAAACACTGTCCGAACACTATCCATAGGTGAGCAGAAGCCTCACCTAGACTTCGCGGAATGCACTTACTTGCACACTTATTTGGTTTTAACGGGAGACTTAAATGAATACCAGCCGACTATCTGATGCACAGTGCCTAAAGGCTGCACAAAGGCTGCCTCATTTTGTAGTTGGAACGACGTACAAAATGTCGCAGCATATTTTCTTGAGGGAAACTACTCACAAAGTTGTTGTAAACTCTTCGATGGGACAGTTATTTATGCATACATATATCATACATTCCAGTAGACACGAACATTTTGTCAGCAATAATTTCAATAAGACTGATGATAGACACTGATGGTAAACAGTAGTCAAAACAGACTTCTCACGAGATTTCTGAAGCAAGATCATTCAAATGTGTTGTACACCCCCATTCTTATCAAGAACATGCAGTTTTCCGCAAACCGCGATCGTTTTTTACAGCTGTAAATTAATGAACAAATAGAAAACGAAAGCCTTATTCGGGAGTACAACATCAATAAACAGCTGAAATAGTGGATAATGGTTAGATGTTTGTTCAGATATTTGGGCTCGGTTTATCGGGGGATGACCGGTGCAACCGGGTTGACTACGCTGGTAACTTCGGGGCAAGCAGAACCAGATTGACAGTAGCCAAGTCCTCAAGTCCGGATCCCAAAAATCAGAAAAAGACTTTATGGCCGAAATGTCCCATTGGGTTACCCAACAGTAATTAGTATAGTAAATAGTATATATTTGTAGCATTAGTATTTAGAGGGTCCGGCAAACAATCGGATGCGTACGAGGACTCCCACATTTGCGTACTGCGGCCTGTGTGCTCAGGGTCCTTGTGAGAGTTCAAGAACCCGGACAATGCGAAACAGAATTCAACTACAAGTGAAATTCCGACTTAATTGCTGAATGTGCCACACATCTATGTATCAAGGGAAGAATGAAACGCATTGAAAAACTTTTTTGCCGAAGATTGCGTCACGAAGTTAATCTCAAAAGGTTTGCACGATACGGTGGGTTTCATGCTGACTAGCAAATATCGCTGACTGTTTGAGTTTCAGGTTTTTACGAATTACTTTTCCAAGTGATTGTCCGTTTTTAACTACCCGATGGACATCACCCGACATAAAGCAATCTAGTTCGCGCAAATTGTGGTGGGCTGACCGGGACGCAGTGCACTAATTATAACGGTTTTGTGGAACCAAAGAATGATTAATATTGACTAATTGAGCGGAACTTAATTGAGCAAACGCTTGTGTGTAAATGGTCTTCCGCGCAGACGGGAGCGAAAGCACACAAGAGCGGGTCGTAAAGCACAGAAGACTGTCCTCAGCTGCACTCGTCAGTGGATTATTTGGGATATGTCACGGTAAAAATCATCTCAGCAGTCGCCTAGTGATTTCATGATATCAAGTCGGCTGCCGAGGCTCTTGTAAAGAGTGAACTAATTTAAAAATTGCTGGTCCTTGTTTGGGTCAAGGTTTTGGTATCTGCAAGGTATCCGGTTAGAATATCCTTCGGCTGATATAACTCGGTTTCGGTGGGTACTCTGCCTTGAAATGTTTCGCTTTTGATTTGGCCAAATAGAGCGTTCAAAATAATTCCGTTATCCACTTTAAGCCGGTTTTCAGTGTGGCATTCTATGAGGAGAATGACTACTAGTTTTAATCTCCACCCAAGCTCCAATGGACATTTACCGCTTAAAAAAAGTCAAATTTTGAATTTTAAAACGGAGTGATGGGAAGTATTAACAACAGATCACCCAAATACATCGAAAACGTTATAAGGGAGCAAGAATGTCAGTACCTTCGGTCGTAACAAAAAACGACAGCAGCAGTAGCGGGCAGAGCTAGAAAAAATCACAGAAATGGTAAAGACATACTATCTACTTAAAGACCGAGTAGGATAAGTTGTCTCAGGGAAAAGAGTCGATGGCTGATACGTCAGGCCTCATGAAACAGAAAAGATCGACAGATGGTTTGGAAAATCAGTGTGTGCGTTCAACCCGAATGGTAATATCACGACTCTACGGTCATTCAAAAGTTCGGAGGAACAGTCCGCCAACAAATCCATTCAGGAATTGTGAACAACATTCAATTTCAAACCACCAACGAAAATAGGATAAGTCATGTGACTGCAGAACCAATCTAGGAGGCACTTTAGAGCGCTTTATAGCGGTGCAACAGATGCACAAAAATGGTCGGCAAAAGTTTTGGCTTGAGACCATCCGTTAGTCAGGCAATGACCCTCTGCGTAGTCGTGTAGAGGCGACCGGATTGGATATAGCCTTCCAAGAGAACTATTTAGAGGAGATATTGATTGTACGTTTGGTACGTTTGGTTAAATTTCTCGGTCAACTTTGTAACCAAGAAGATGAGTTACTGCCAGCAGGCCTTCAACTTACCACCGCTTGTTGATATATTATTTGTGAGTAGGCTAGCATGCAACCAGCTCACTTTTTTCCCGGAATGATGTATCTTAAACGAGCACCATATAACATACAATGTTGTCTCCATCGTTCTGATTAGACTCGCTACAGAAAAAAATCCTGAGTCCAACTAAGAGCAATTTTGCTCCACAGCCAGTGAGTCATATCTACAGCCGTGTAGACACTGAGATGATCTCAAAATATGGGCCTACAAAAGGTGAGAACCCTTTTCACCCCGAAATGTAGGAGTGGCATACGGCGCTTACCTGACAGAGTGATAAAAACGCGCGAACGACATGCTGCGACATGAACTAGAACCATCATGTGGCTTCATGCTCTCTGTACACATGAATCTACCGCCAATTACACCGAGTTCAATGGCATCCAAAAACACGCCTATCCTTATTAGCTGGCTCTTTGAATGGGGCGCATTGGCCCAAGTTATATCAGTGTCGCTGCTAGCAGGCATTGAGGAGACTACTTGATCTCAACGGTGGAGTGCCCCACCTCATTCTTATCAACCCTGAGCTTGTCATTAGAAGACAGTCTTACGGAGTCTACAGCAATATTAGGTTTTCAAGACGGTTTTATTACCATATCTGTGAAGGTCCCTAAAGGCGGCCAAACTGTGGTTTCTGGAATCGCTATGCAAACTAAGTTGAAGCGCATTCAATTCGGCATACTCATGACTTCCTCGTACTGAAGCCTTTCTCGCGACATGAATTTTATACGAAGTAGACTGTCTGCGGCTTCTCGAGGTGGTATTCACCCGGTTTAGCAAGTAAGTACTTTATCCATAACAACCAACGGATCCAAATTCTGAGCGCTAAGTACTAGTTTAGGCCAGTCTGAATATTAGTGACCTTTTGTCTCTACTTTTGTATGTGTTTTGTAGGAAGTGATGGCTAATCACTGTGAATGACTTTCATACCGTCAGTTCCTTTCTACGCTGTATGGTTGAGTGCTTGGAAGTTTAAGCACCTCAGACTTCTTGCAACAGGCCAGTACCAGGTGAACTTATCTATTCTGTTC